TGTACTTCATTACATGTGTGAAAAGTTACTATTAAGCACACAAAATACACTTAGTCGTGCAAACACTACTTAAATGCTCCCAGAAATGCTTCTATAAAGCATTAGTGCTTTCATAAAACAATAACTTTTTAGGTTAGTTCAAAAATTGTAAATTTATAAGAACACACTATAGACATTTAAAAATGATTAAATTGATTCCTCTGTTCTTATATTGTTTAATGTAGGAACAAAAACTGCCAAATGGATTTTGGTGTTAGTGTTTGCCTTTAGGTTTGCCATTCTTTAACTATATATATATAATATGTGGGGGAAAACTACTATGGCTCCAAGCACTCCAGAAAACTAAATAACTTTTAATGGCTGTTTTTGTTAATAGAACATGAACTTTTTATTATCATATAATGTTTCCACCACAAGACATTGTCGTAGTCTCTGTCTTTCATTGTGTGTGTGTGTGTGTGTGTGTGTGTGTGTGTGTGTGTGTGGTTTCATAAATATGTTGGGGTCTAATTAAATATCTGATGATGTGTATGTAGCTCATTAAATAACCCTACTTTCTACACTGCAGGGAATTTAAGAAGTAGAACAGTGAGGTGATATGATGGAATATAATTACAGGTGGTTGGAATTATCTAAAGTTCATATTGAGTAGGGAAGATATTCTATGGAGCAACTCAATGCATATACAAAAGGAACACTTAGGCCATTTCTTGAGAAATCAGTATTATATTGTAAAATACTGCCCAATCTTCTGAGGGCAGTGGTATGGAGAATGGGCTGTAGGGGACAAAATACAGCAGRGAAATAACTTTCTACATGAAGAGTATTAGTTTATCAACAATAAAAGTCTAAGAAGGCTGGATATATTACTTTTTCATTCTTTCTCTTACTCCTTATCTCAGTCTCAAATAGTGCTTTTCTTAGCAACTAATAATAATTTGATTTAGAATGTTCAGTAACTAAGAAGTTAGGAGAACTCTACTTAAAGATGGTTAGGTTACAGTTTGGTGTATGATTACACTAATTGTTTAACATCTAGTTTTCAAGTTCTAGCATACTTTCCTTGAGCTTCAAATGCATTTTAGCATATTCATTTTATAATGTAAGAAGTAAAGATGTCTACAAACATAGGTACTTAATAAATCTTATATACTTTCAAATAGAAAGCTCTAGAAAGAAAATAAGCACATAACAAAGAAAGTAAATTTCAATATTTTTAATGAGGTAAATTACATATGAATAACTGTGGGTCATGTATGAGGGTCTTTTGTATGCAAAGGACAATCTAAATTGACTCATATCACTTTTGTTAAAAATTAGATTTAAAATTAAAAATATTAAGTATTGGACATCTTGCTTCATGAGCAAATCACATCACAATTTCTGTAATACAATATGTCTTTCTTTCTTTTGTTTAGGCTGTACAGGGGATCAAACCCAGGGCCTGACTCATGGCTAAGGACAAATTATTCCACTAAGCTATGTCCACAGCCCTAATATTTCTTGAATGTTGCTATCAATTAGAAATTTCAGTGAGTTAWTAGGTAAAAAATATATTAGTTTTTACTCACACATGTAAAAGAAGCTGCCAGGATAGCAAACAAAAATGTTACCAATCATGTAAAATGTACTAAATTACCAAATGCAGATGTGCATTTTGATCATTTAGGACAAAATAATCTCAACATAAAGCAGAAATGTGTAATTTTTGAGAGCAGTGCAAGTACAAACCAGATTTGTTCAGAAGATAAAAGGCAGCTATTTTGGAATTGATTAAATGTAAACATATTATTTAATATAATGCTTAAATACTTAAATTGTTTAATAAAACTTTAAATGCTACAAACTATTTTAAACTTTAGGAACTGTAGGTTATAAAATTAATATTTTTCTTATGTGGTTCTTTTGCCCCAAATATTTAAGAATAGCAGTCTTACATTTGTTTTTTATATATAAAAAAAATCAAAGTTAACATTTTTTCTAATTTAAGTCATGTTGGATTTCTTTGAATAGCAAATTAGGTCAAGTAGAGTTAGGCAGTATATTGAGGTCTTATATGAAAAGTACATTTTCTATGTATCAGAATTGTTAAGGTTTATTTGAAATGAATGTAATTCAGGATATTGATCCTCTTTAGGTGGACCTCAGAGCCTCTTAGCAACATTTGTCATTCTCTGTAAAGCAGAAACACACAGAAGCCATCCATCCTTATGGTAAAATGAGTCAACTGAAGAAAAACTTCTGTTCTACGACATCATTAAGGATGGAATATAGCCTGCAGAAAGGAAGAAAAAAATGAATAGAAAAAATGTTATATCAACATGTCCTTATTGAAATATTTTCCCTTTACAATTGTGATAGTAATAAAAACTGCAGGTCCTTGAGCACATGTATATTTTCCCTTGGTTTTGTAAAATGCCACTTATCTATCTTCCTTCTGGCATTTTATATTAGTGACTTCTAGAATATTGATTACTAAAATGAAACTTTATCAATGGAATTTTAATAGCATATATTCTTATGAGATTCAGGTCATCCTGTTTGCATCAGGAATCAATTTTGCACCACTTAACTTATCCCTTATTATTAAAACTTGAGGATAAAGGGTCATAGTGGGACTGACAACAATAAAGGAAAAAAATTAATGTATTTAATGTAAAATTAATGTAAAATGTTACTGGTAAGGATATATTAATTCAAAATTGCAGTGATTTTTCTTGGAAGAAGCCTCTTAATTTTTCACATCAGAATGGTCAGCTTACACTTGAAAACCAAGTTCACACAATTTACAAGACTTGTTACTCTTCACACTTAGTGATCTATAAGCACAATCAAAAGCTGTTTGGTTTCTTCCCTCTCCTAAACATACCCACTCTTCACACTATGAGCATGTACAGGCTGGGGGTGCTATAGACTCATGGAAAACCATAGGGCTTTATGAATTTATAGTATTATCACAACATGCAAATAGCCACTTGGGATATTACTAGTTMGTATTTGGTATAAGGATTAGATCCACGTTGCACATTTATGAAGAGATTTCTGTAGTTTTAACTTACCTGCAAAATATGAAAAAATAATCTTCATTACTGTTACTGAAAGAATAATATATTTTAGAATATGATCAAAGTATACTAAAAGCATAAATACGGGGCTACTAACTCAAAACTATTTTATTTTCAGAAAGGAAAGAGACTTAGCAGGAATTAAGGGAGATCCTTAAATATCCCTTTAGCAAGCAAACAAGGATCTGCTTTGCCTGCCTTTGCGTTTTTAATGTAGGATAAGAAGGACCTTAAAGCGTTTCTATTGACTCCTTAAAAATCCCTACTTCAAATTCACCCTTACATTCTACCACTCTCCTAGGAAAGAGGAAAAGAAAATTTCCACTGACCCAGCTCGTGATTTACATACAGAGAACAAATAAATGAATGGAGTGGGGGATGGGGCCGTGACAAGCAATGTGTTTCCTTTTCAACTGCAGAAAATAAGATTACTTACCAAGAACATTTCTATCCAGGGCAAATGTTTATTCCCTCTATCATCCGGCGACTCAGTCTCTGCAAGAAATCAATTTCCACTCTACCTTTCCCTCCTATTCTAAAAAAAGAGAGAGAGAGAGAGAGAATAATTCTTAAGCTTTGGTCGGAGGAAGACCCAGCTAGAGCAGAGGGCAAAAGACTCCCACAGCGCTCTTTATACAGATCCCAGCTCCGAGAGCGAACCCGTGGAGTGGGGGAGGACCCTCTCTAGGGAGAGTACTCTGCGTGGGGAGGGGGATTCATTCCACAGCCAAAATATAAATCATCTACAAACAGAATTACCAGCCTCTCAGTCACACAGGCAATTCCCTAGGCGAAGTAGGTTTCCAAGAGGAGAAAAGACCAGGAGAGGGCGGGGGGTTTATGCTTAGGAGAGGTAGTGGGACCAGGAGAGGAAAAGGGAGAAAGAATAAAGCTAATCTTACCCGATCGATCAGGTGATTGTTTATGCAGTATCGGGACATGAAAATGGCAAGATAATGCATTCGACAGCAAAGCCATTTCTAGCACACTATCCCTCGGTAACTGTGYAGGAAATCAGAGGGGAGGCGGACGCCTCTCAGGCTGCCACTTGCTCCCCCAGGGATGGCCCTCGGAACGGTCAAAGCTCCAGCTTCTTAAAGCAAAGCCTTTGGAGCTGAGACTTCTGATGCAAGTCACTTGCCTGGAGTCCCAGGCAGGAGGATTCGCCACGGAAGTGGGACCCGGGAGGGCTGCCGCCGCCGCCGCTGCCTCATCTAACCAGGATTCCCAGTCCCCTTGCCTGAGCCTCTAAAGAGCAGCGCCCCCGAGAGCGCCCAGAGACTCGGCTTCATTCCCATCTTCAGCCCTTGGATACCCGCCCCCACATCCCCCACCCGGCCAATGCAAATCGCTGATGATTTGGTTATCATAGTGTGACTGATCCGTAGTGTTTTATTTGGGGTGCTGGTTGTGTCGGGCAGCCTTACTACGCCTCCCTCAGTTGCGGCAAGTGAAAGAGTTCAAGGGAAATCCTTGCGAAATGTACTGATGGAATACTATTAATCCTGATAATAATGCTCCCAGCGCAGGTAACTCTTAAAGAACTGAGAGTGGGAAGATCAGAACAGGATTTCGGAAGCAGTGCCCTCTTGAATTCTCATTGGATCCTCCCCAGCAGCCTAAATCATTCTTGCTGCTATATCTATCAGGATGACTACAGCCTTGCTCACTAGTTCTCTCTTTATCTCCTTGACTTCAACACATCTTTTTACTTCTCTTTGCAGATTTATCTGTGTTCCACCTCCTGTTCTCTAAGGTTACACAGCTTCTGTTTTTCTCCACTGTATGGGGATGTGCCGTCTATAAATTTTCACTTTGCCTAAGTGTGAGCACCCCCTCACTTCTCCCTTACACACACACACACACACACACACACACACACACACAAACACACACAAAGCTCCTCTTTCACATCTTGCTTCCTTTCCTTGGGGGTTTGTGGCTCTCTTTGTAACTGGTTTTCACTTGGTTACATGCCACCAGGAACTGCTGATTATCTACCATCCAGCAGCTCACTAATTTACCTTGATTTGGAAGACCATGGAGTATCTGCTTGAATCCTGGAAGTATTTTTCTTACAGTCATCTTGCTTCCTGAAATTTCCTCTGGTAAGTTATTCTCTTTATATGATATTAGTAAGTTATTATTAGTGTTATTTTAATTAAGGCTCTTTAAGGTGTTCTTTCTCCTTTTCTTAATTTTTTTCCTTTTGTGCTAATTTTAAGAACTATTTTAAGATCTATCTGACCATATGCATTAGTTAGTATGCTGGTTGCAGTTAACTGCTAAGATGTAGTCCATGWAAAGAGCTACCCTAATATGTCTTACATTCTTTCTTTCTTTTTTGGCTTCTGTTATCATTTGCATTACATGTTATATGGATATTTWTCCCTCCCCCATTAACCCTTCTGGGCACACATTCTTGTGCCATTTGATAGGTTGGAATTTTATGTTTATCTAAGAGAGATCTGAGTATTACAGGGTTTGGGATAGTTCACTACTCCCTGTGATCTTCAGAAGGTTGTTTAGGTCAGTGAGTGTTCATCTCATAGTAAGCAATTGCATGTCTGAGGGAGGACTTTTATAAAGTGTGTATTTATGAATTTAGCAGAACCATAAGAACTAACATGCCACTATGTGGTCAGAGAAGGAGTGGGAGTTTCGGGGGCACCATTTTTTTTCTTACAACATCCAAATCACATATGAACACATTATTTGGGGCATTGTATTTCAATTCAGGCATAGTATTTGGCYGTGCATTTCTGATTTTGTGAATTAGCTGGTGAACAGTTAATTGAACAGGGAGTGCTCACATCACAGGAAGAGAGAAATCTGAAGAAAGCACTATTTATTTTGGTTCTAAAAAATTAAAATTCAGGAACTGACCTTACATGAAAAATTTAATTGCCTCACTCTTCACACTTGCCCACCTCCACCCWCAATTTTTAATAAGTATGTAATATGGTCATTGCTTTACCCACTGAATAGTTCTAGGAGCTTAACTGACAAGAGCATCACCTCCCTCCTCAGTATAGTTTTGTTCAGAAACATTAAAATGTTTGCTTTTACTTCATATATTGGTAAGCTCATCCAATGCCAAACCTGCATGTGTCAGTAGTCTCTAACACATTCTAAGGGTTTCCTCTGTGAACCCTGTCACCTGTCACCCTCATCCCCATGAGGACAAGTTTCTGGTTTCTGCAACATTGGGATGGATAGAGGTGAGAACCTATTGTTCAAGCTTTTCCYYCCCCCCCCCCCCCCCCCCCCGCTTTTTYCCCTAATTTCTGTGACAGAACTATCCTGTCGTCATTGATGGCTGACGCGACAGCCTAAGCATTTTTTTTTTTTTCTAAATTTCAAAAGCCCTTTTGGCTTTCAGACATAAAAGTACTCCAACTGCAGCGTCACCCATCCCTAGTCTCACATTCAAGGGCTTTTCCCCCTTGGTTCCTACMGAGAGACTCCTATTGATACTGGTTCACACCACTTGGCGCCCCTCACCCTTCACTAGTTTCTACCTGGTCTCTTTGCCAGTCCGGTCGTCCTGCCTGACAAGCCAGTGCCATCAGCGTCCGTGACTTCATTTGAAGAAACGAGGGCTTAGTGTAATTCGCCAATTCAAACATCCTCTTTGGAGGACTGCTGCTGTTGCGCAGGGGTGGGGGAAAAAAAAAAAGCAACTTTCAGTGCAGTCGGATCTTTTCTTCTTAATCTAGTCTACTCCAGTAAGGCACGGACATTCGGTATTTAGGTAAGTGCGTTTTGCTGTGTTTTAATCTGAAGATYGCGCTTGTGAAAGGGAAATTTACATCTGAGAGCCTCCGCAGCCAAGAACGTTTTAACCAGAGGGCTATCAACAGGCGACTCTGCCTGGGGATTTGTCCGCAGCTCCTAGCGACACCTGAGCCACCTGGGCACAGGGAGCGTGGAGGGCAAAGTACCTGGTTGACTGGCTGGCCCTAGGCTTGGTGCTGGGGTGGGAATGACCCGCGCGGGGAGGAGCCGTGTCCCTGGCGCTGACCAGCTACCGCAGGCTCCGCACTCAGCCCCTGCGGCGAATGCTGGGTTCTGGGCATTTGCAGCCCTGGAGAGTGGGGCTGGCAGGGGTTTTCATGCTTCCAGAGTGGAACCTACCTCTGGCCACAACCTTTTTTTTTTTTTTTAGGAGAGGACAGACTTGGCGATTCCTGGAATCTCTCAATACCTTTCTGCGTTAATATTTATTTATTATTTTTAATGAGCTGTGTCTAAGAAATGACGCTTTGTAGTATGTATGTTTTACAAAATCTTAATCGTTGTCTTCATCCAACTTCATCCGATCGCTTAGTAGGACTTAAAATTGCTGAAGACTTCCCAGGATTAGTGTTGAATTGCTGACGATCGGCACTCCTCGCCTTCCTCCATCAACTCCCAAGAATCTGGAGGGTGGCAGGGTGAGGGAAAGAGTTAGATTTCAACTTGGAGCTGGGGCTTGGAAAATCAGGTTGAAGTTAAAAGCAAAAAAAAAGTGAGGGTTTGGGAGCTGCCTAGTGTATATTATATGCACTTTAAAGTTGGTCTTTTACCGCCTCCTCCCCTTTCTGGAGGGGGTGCGAGAGGTGGGAGGACCTGGGTCTGGCGTCCACTGGAGAGGGGGTGGTGCTTCTTGGCCGAGGGTTTCTGCCGGTTCTGTAGCCAAASGGTGGTAGAGTTGAAGTCTCTGATGGCTGTTCTCCTAGTCCCTAAGAGTTGAACCAGAGAGCCTTTTACTTTGCTCCAGGTCCAGACCAGACCGTGATCAGTCCTTTAAAGCAGGGACCTCTTTCTAATGGGAGTCTGGCAGGGAAAYGTAGGGTAGGCTCTACTTCCGAAGATAAAATGCATGGTTCCAGCTGTGTGAGACACCAACCGGCTGTTTGAAAAGAGGAAGAGGTGACCAGGGTTACAAATTAACCCTAGGATTGCTTACAAATATTCTAGCGAGTCAAATGTATATAAGCAAGGAAGAAAGCATCAGGATATAAAACTGTCACAGCAGCGTGGAAGACTGATGATTCAGATTCTGGGGACTTTTCCTTTTACGTGCTATTTAGATTTGCTTGCCATCATGCAGTTAAGCAGGTAAGGAATAAATGTCTCTGTATTTTATCAACAACCATATAACCTGTGTTTGACCCATCCTGTGATGATTTTTCCCTGTTTCATGTGATGGACTATATATTTATTTCCAGATGGTTCTGCTGTGATGTATAACTTCTTAATATTAACATTCATAAATCCCTTTAAAATCATTTAAACGCTCAACATGGATTCATTTAAATTTTAACATGCACTTATTTAAATGTTTATCAGTGTTACAAAAATCATAAGCTAGACCGAGATGAGAGGAAGAGATAGGAAAAGTAGAGTTAGTGGAAGAGATGTATAAACCCTAATGAAATATGGAAGATGGAAGTTCAAGAAATGCCTTAAAACGTTGCTTCTTACTAAGGTCACAGGCCTTAATATATAAAGGACAATTGGATAACTACTAAGGGCATCTTGAACTGGAAAAATAATTTTGACTACCTTAGAGAAATGTTTTATGGATATTTTTGTGTTACCTCCTCCATCTTGAAAAAAAAAAATTCATGGGGTTAGGGGTGGGTTTGATTGTCAAACAGTATGAGAAAAGAAGAGCTCCCCCAAGGGCAGTGTTCTATATGACCCCAATATAGACATCTTCTGTTTTAGAAAAGAGTTGGAAAATTGAAAAAAATTAAATCAAATTAGAAAACTATGTGAACTCTTCCCCAAATAAACCTTTTTAAACTCAAAGTTTTATACATTTGTAAATTGAACAGCCTGTAAGTTTCTTCTAGTATCCAGATTTAACCGAATTAAAAGAATGTTTTTTTTTAACGTTTAATAAGTTTTGTTAATGCTATTGATATTGTTTTGTTATGTTTGGCTTACATGTTAAGGGAGTCTGGAGTTTCCACAAAGTGAAGCAAAAATATATTGCTAAGACACAATCCTAAAACTGTTCAATTTGGTAATAATACTTTCTGTTTTCAAAAAAAAAAAAAATCTGTTTTTTTAAATTTTTCCTGAAAACATTTTTAGTGCTTACATTTGTTAATCAATAATTATTGATCTCTGATCAATATTTTTTTCTGCTTGTTAAGGCTCACTGATAAAATTTTGAACAATAAGAAAGGTAATATTAACTTTAGGTTGCAGAATTCCAAAGTTATAGTGCTCTTTTTAGCTTGATGAAAAAAGTAGTTTTTACTTTAATGGAGAAAATAATTCATCAATGCATTTCAATTTCTCAATTCTTCTTTATTTTGTCCTCTGGAATTAATTTTAGTAAATATGATTGTGTGTGTGTGTGTGTGTGTGTGTGTGTGTGTATGTGTTCTTTATTTTGTCCTCTGGATTTTAGTAAATATGATTGTGTGTGTGTGTTTGTGTATGTGTGTGTGTATAGACACGTGTGTAAACATATACTCATTTTTGGATCGATGGAGATGTTTATTTTAAATCTATATTGCTTTACTATTGTTTTCAAATGAAATAGACAAGATAATGTATGATGATCAATTTCATTTATCTTTTAATCAGATAATACTATGTGATTCCATTTTCTCATGGAAACTTTTCTTTAAAAAACTCAACATTCTAATAGGAAAGTGTTTTTCTTATATAAACTACAGTATATATTGATTTTCAGGAAAAAAAAAGGTTGATATATTATAGTTAAGTAAATAAAACCTGAGCAGGAAGAAACCATTGAACTCAAAGTGGGTGTGTGTTATATACATATTACATGGGTACAAAGATTCACAAGTTCTACCATTAGCTGTGCTCCTAGATTTMTGTTCTTAATAAAAGTGGAATTTCTTTTTAGAATAGTTGCTTTGCGTGTTTTTCTCTACAAGTGCAAAGAACACAACTGGTGTGTTTTCCACACTTTGATGTTCATTATCAAAATATGCATATTTCCTGCTGTTGTTTTTTTAATATTATCTTTAAAATGAAAACTAGTGATTAGCTTAAGCATCTAAAACTTTCAGTAATTTAGAAAATTGGATATTAATATTTATAGAGTTCTGACACAAATGAGAATGTAATAGCAATCTGT